GAGCTGGCAGCCCCGTGACCTTACACCTCAGTGCTGTGAATGGGAACAGCTTTGGAGAAAAGCTCTGTCTCCCTAGGTTGACTCCAATTTAGCCTCTGACTATCAGCTCACCTTGTCACACCAGAGCACCCTGCAGAGGCAAATGGGGACAGGGACCCATGATCTTTCCTCCATCCCAGGAATGGGTGAAGCCCTGCTGGGAAGTTACTTTATCCTCCCAAGAGAAGGGATGCACAGTGCACACCCGCAGTCCATCAGGCTGCCCTGACATCTCCAACGGCAGCCCTTCGCCCGGCATTGCAGCCAGCCAGGGGGCGGGGATGTGCTCCCGGAGGCTGGAATTTCTCAGGCCACCCAGCAATCCTTCTGCGGGGGCGCACGCCGCTCCTGGCTGTGCTGGACAGTGAGTTATTGCAGCCTGTTATCTTCAGCAGCACGTGGAGGCATCCCAGGCTCCTTCCTGCCGAGCGAAGCCAGGTAATATTTACTGGCTCAAATGAATAAGGTAACCGGCCCTGTCACAGCACAGAGGATGCGTCTCTCACCCAAGGGGTTTTTTTTTGTTGGGGTTTTTTTTTTGCCTTTCTTTCTTCATTATGTTTGTAATTTTGTTTTATTATTTCCCATTGGAAAGCTGTGAAATGAAAATGATGCAATCTACTGCTGTGAAATAATGTCGTGCTCGAGTCCTTTTCCAATAAGCCCCGAGGTTTGCACTGTGACGGCTTCATTAAATTAGTCGGCTCCATGGCAAATGAAAAAGCGCTCGGAGCTTTGGATTTTGTTAATCTGGGTTGGGCTGCCTGAGACCTTAGACCACCAGGGAGCTCGGGAGGTTGACTCTGCCTGCTGGGGCAAGAAGTTCCGCCCGCCGTTTGCAACATCCCAGAGGCCACCACGTGTGCACAGCTGCTCGATCTCTGCTGTAACCCTCACAACCTTCACTCTGCTCCTCTGCGTGCCAGATGCTGCCCTAGGTGTTGTCACGTGCCAAAGGAACAAATAGGTCTCTCCAGGGACACAGTGTTCAGAGGCTCCGAGTATGGAGTGGGGGGACGTGAGGGGGTTTAACCCTACTGCAGGTCGACTATGGTGGACTGCAGGTGAAAGGTGAGTGCCTCCCTGAGGCCAGCCATGACTTAGGTTGCCAGGTGCCAGAGAACATGCCTGAGATGCTTGCAGAGGGATGGTAAATGAATCACCATCCCTCAGAGTTTATGAGAACAGATTCTCTCTTGCGGGGCTCCACTGCAGTATTAAAGATTTCCATTACTGATAGTTCTTTCCAGTTAGTACTTTCCGTATTAAACTCTGTCATTACAAAGTAAAATATGCATGATCTCTAAATCTATGTGTATTATAACGAGGTTTCATTGTTATAAATTTGTCTTCCTGGTCCTCCATTTCTGCCTTTGCTGTCTTTTTAAAACTGTAATGTCTGATAGCTGTAGCCAGGGGGTAATTAGGAAATGGTACTAAAGAATCACAGGCTTATTTTCTCACTTATTCATGGAAATGTGTTGGGTGTCTATACTAAGATATGGGCCCACAGCAGGTGGGAAAGACAGCAGTGACAGCCAATTACAGCACTAAGGAATTTGGCCTGAGCTGACATGGAAGCGCCCTCCCACACACACGTATAAATATTGGATAAAATACAATAAAACAACTTGACATCATAGCTGCATTCAAAAGGATAGAAGGAAAAATTCTAGATTCCGAAAACAAGTGGGGATTCAAAGCCAGAGGGGAAAGCGAGAGCTGAAGGGGACTTGTAACCAGATGTGTGTAATCAGGGCCGGGCTTCCAACAGCCATGCAGAGGCAGGCACTGCAGACCGCAGCCTCACGCCTGCCTGGGGCCACCAGTGAGACCCGACACAGGGCTGGGCACTTCGGAGGACTAGACAATCCCCACCCAGCCGGGTGAGCGGCGATGGCATGAAAGCAAGAAGACAACTGGGGTAGAGAAAAGATCATCTGTGAAAGACCAAAACCCAAACTTGTGCCAAGCATAGATGTGGAGTCTAAATTTGCATCATATTCCCACAGCATGGAAACCACAAATGAGGCAATTCATGTACAAATGGGTTTGAAATCAATGGAACCCAACAGACAAGTTGGGTTCCCTGAGGCATGCCTTCATAACCATGGGGCCCAGAGGAATAACTACTGCTGAAGATGAACTCACACAGAGAAATTACACGGCACATAAGAAAACAAAGGGAGCGAGTCTCACGTTCAATGTGGCACCTGGCCTGGCCACCTATGCTGGCCCCAGGATTACCTAAAACTCCCATTTCTGCCCATCCATTCAACACCATCACCACCCCAACTCTAACCCAGACACTAGAGAGTGCCTGAAGCTCCTGCCTCTCTCCTTTCCAGTATACGCACATTCACACTCACAATAATATATGTATACATTTCCTTTCATGAAATTTGTACACCACACCATTAAGATACATAGGAGCCCATATTGTTCACATCTGTTCCCACCAGCCGGTTGTGCTCCCAGGTGAGGGGGTTTCTGCCACACCTGGCCATTCTTCACCTAGCAGTGTGGGGAGACTGCTCCACAGTGGTGACTCTTCAAGCTCAGTCTGGAGTCTAAATCTTGTGAGCCCCCGAAATATGAATAATATAGGTTCTTTTTGTTTTCATAGGTCAATGTCATTTGGAAAATGTTCACTTTCATCCACAACTAGTGGAGGCCTACTGAGCTATTTATTCTAGGTTATGGAAATTTGGTAAACTCAGTGATCAGAGTTGACTGAGGACTCTAATTCAGCATCCATCAAAAACAGAAAACACACACTATGCAGCCATAGGGATGCATTTTATTGGGTTGGCCAAAGAGTTTATTTTTTTTATGTAAGATGGCTCTAGTGGCACTTAGCTGTCTTGAACTTCACTCACAACAATTTTGTTAGATTGTATCATGACAGCTGTCATATCAGTGTGCATTTTTAAAAAAGTTATCAAAATTGGTGCATTTCTGTGCAGCCATTTTAATATTGAAGATGGAAGAAATATGCAACATTTCAGCATATTATGCTTTATTATTTCAAGGTAAAAATGTGACACACACACACACACACAGATTTGTGCAGTGTATGGAGAAGGTGCTGTGACTGATAAAACGTGCCAAAAGTAGTTTGTGAAATTTTGTGCTGCAGATTTCTTGCTGGACTATGCTCCACAGTTGGGTAGATCAATTGAAGCTGTAGTGATCAAATTGAGACATTAATTGAGAACAATCAATGTTATACCACGCAGGATAGCCGACACACTCAAAATATCCAGATCAATAAAGTTATTGGTGAAAATGAAAAATATCTTTTATTTTACAGAAAAAACTGAACAGGCTTTTTGGCCAACCCAATATAATGATGAGCTTGTGCAACCACCCACCACAGATGGCTTTCTGGGTGAAAGGGAGATGGACACCTGCCCAGGGTATCACAGTTTCTGTGGTAGACGGATTCTGAAAGGGTCCCAGGGATCCCTACCTCCCGGCATTCGCTCTCTTGTAACCCTCTGCCCTTGAGTATGGGCTGGACCTACTGGCTGGCTTCTATCGAACAGAATGTGGGAAAAGGGATGGGGAGGAACTTGTGAGATCAGCTTATAAAAGACTTGTGATGTCCACCTTGCTGTCACTCGGGCCTTCCTGGCTTGTTTGCTTTGGTGAAGCAGGCTGCTTCACTGAAGAGAACTATATAGCAGGGAACAGAGGGAAGCTTCTGGCCAACAGCCTGCGAGGAACAGAATCCTGCCAACCACCACTGAGTGAGCTTGGAACAGATCCTCCCTGGCGGCAACTTGAGATGACTGTAGCCTCTTAAGTCACCCTGGAGCAGGGGACCCAGTGAGGCTGTACCTTGATTTTTGCCCCATAAAAACCAAGGGATAGTAAATGTGTGTTGCTTTAAGTGGCTAAGCTGTGCCGTACTTTGTTACTTAGCAATAGATAACTAAGACCACAAATAATCAGCATGTGGTGAACTTACCTTGGCAGAGAATGTACAAGCAGGTTTTGGGAACTTTTAAACAACATAGATTGGTTCTTCTCTTCAACTCCAGTTAAGAAGAATGGACATGCACCAGACCTAGAGCACATGGGGAATTGATGATGGAAAGAAATTCTTTACATTGCTGGCTGCTGACTATAGGGCCATAAGGGCCCATTAGGGCAGTAACTCTAATTAGAGAGGGGTATCGGAATCAGCTGAGGAGCCTGGACCCCACCCTGGACCCACTGAAGTGGGATCTGCACAGGCAGAACCCAGAGCCCCTGAATAGGTAGAGTTTCCCTAGACGACACACACAGACCGTGTATCCCAGCATAAAACCACTGATGAGCATCTACTCCCCAATTTGATATAATAGGAAACGAAGGGCCAGAGAGGTGACAGGCCTTTTTAAGGTCACACAGGATGTTGGTGGTGGCCCAGGTCTCCCACCTCCCTGTTCTTTGCTCCGTCTACCTGCCACAAGGCCCCACAGCCCCGACTCGGTGGAGAACTCAGCCTAGCCCTGAGCTAAGATAAGTAGAAGCAAAAGAAAGACACACACAGAAAACTTCTTAAGTTTCTTTATTTGTTTAGAAAACAGCGAACGTTCACACTTCAACTTTGCCTCCAGCCCCGGCATAGTGAGTGACAGGAAGGCTTTTCTCACCAGCCTCTCGAGTAAGCAAGGGAAAAACACGAACACTTCCTGTTACATCTGTCTCCAGACACCAGTCAGGGGCAGACCGGGCCAGGACTGGAGCTTCATGGCATTGAGAAGAGGTGGGGTCTGGCGGGAGCTCCACTTGGCTTGCAACTTTTCCTCCATCCTCCCTGAGACAGCCGCTCCTGCCCTGGGGGGCTCTGCCCCCACCTCCCAGGTCAGGGCGTCTGCAGCAGTCATGGGCAGCTCGCAGCCTGATTTCTGGTCTGCTTCTCCTCGGGGGAAGCGCCGCCCCACGGCCCCCCCTGGTTCCTCCACGGGTCCTCACGAGCTCACCATGTCCCAGTGCTGGCTCATGAGTGAGGACTCACAGGGGTTGACCACGATTTCCCTGCTGTTCTCAGTGCCATCGCCAAACATGTCTGTGTCTAAGCAGAGGTGAGATGCCACGTGCTCAATGCGGGAGCCAGTCTTGGTCCATTGCTGAGAAGACGGAGAGGAGAAAAGGATGAACCGGATTCTCTGGCTAAGGCCAGGTCCTAGCAATAGTATCAGGAGTTCCAGTGGAATCAGAAATGTTTAACCACATGGCTAGGGTCCCCTTGAGGCTTGACTTCACGGTCTCATGGAGAAATAAAACTGCAACTAATTGCTTTACCAGGTATTGTTGTTTTTCTTTTTTTAATCAGATTAAAAAAAAAAAAGTAAAAGCAAAATCAATATGTTTGCTAGGAAAACTCATTAGAAGGGAATAACCTTCCAAGCAATAGGCCAGAAAATGTGAAGTGAGTTAGTCACAGGAGCAACCAAAGAAATGATGCACACACAGTGTTTGTATAGTTGCGAAGGGTCGGAGTGAGCTGGGGGATGGCCCCGCAGCGGGGGTAGGGGGGTGGGCCTCCTTTGCAGCATGTAAACCTCTGGACCTCCAACGCGCTTCGGCACATGAGGGGCCCAAGCAGACAGTGGGGGTCTCAAGCTGCTGCTTCTCAGAGGTCACCTTGCATGACAAGCAGGTTGGGAAGGGACACGTATTAGGAAATCACCACTGACCATTTATCATGGGCCATCTCAGTTAATTTCTCTAAACAGCTACCGCGTGTGGTTAGGCATCATCAACTCCATTTCCTAGAAGGAGCTGAAGCTCAGAGAGATCCAGTAAAGCTACCATGGGTCACACAGCCAGTGAGACGTAAAATGGGCGTTTGAATCTCTGTGTCCCTAACGCCCGTACGCAACTGGCAGGGAATTGAGTGCAGCTGACACCTTGCTGCTGGAGGAATGGAACACATGGTATACCCAGAGTGCTATGAACTTGGTGGACATCCTGCCAGAGCCCAAGGCCCCTGAAGGCAAAGGTTTAAGCCTTGTTCATCCTTGTGGGCCTGAGGATTTGTCCCAGTCCTCTCCTGCTCTGGGATCGCAGGTGGGCATTGGGGCAAGACAGGGTAGTACAAGATATACGTGCACGCTGGGGTCTGACGAGGTCAGTAGGCTTTCATATGGCAAGTTGGCCACTGCTGCTGGCACCACGGCTATTGAGGCAGCATTCTGCCCCTCTCCTAACCACAAGGACCTTTTTCTTATTAATACTCCTCTTCTACAGTTTCTCTCTTTTCCTGCGCACGACACACAGGCTGTCATATTAATGTAGGCAGCCATGCCCCAGGGTGGACCCACCGCACGCTTACCTGTTTGTCATCTCCATTCTGGCAGAGGACCAGAACCACCGGGGCACCAGGGAAAAAGGTGGTGACTGAGAGGCACAGCTCCTCCTGGAGGATCTGCTGGGTGTATGTGAAGGCCCAGATCTGGAGGGGAAGAGGCCAGGAAGGGTCACATTAGGATCCTTGGAAGAAGCCAGCACTGGTGGGATACTACCATGCCCACATGTGATAATATAACACGGCTCGTAAAAGGCACTCGGGGAGCCTAGCCGAAATCAATTGTCAACAGGATCACCTTGGGAAATGCTACTGAAGAGCCAGAGACTTGTAGGTCACACTCCCACTAGTCTCTGTCCCCCCACCCCATGAGGGGGACCAGCCTGGGGCGTGCAGGCCACCTCTGGGAGGAGCTGAGTAACACCCCTGCCAAGCTGCATGGTCTCTAGTTTCTGTTTGGATAGGTGTCTGTTCTGCACACTTGACATTTCTTGCAGCTACCTGGCAGGTTGCACCCCTCGGCTGTCTTTAGAATATCCCTTCTTCTCTGAAAAGGAGTCTAAATCGGTGTTCTGAGAGCATGAGAGTTATGACAGGAGGCAGATGGGGGAAAAAGTGTCCCAAGGGAGCTGGTGGTAGAGGAGCGTGGAGGGAAAGAGGCAAGTCATGAGAAATAAAATTATTCCAGAGGGTGCGTGCACTCCAGCGCCCCCAGCAGGATAGATCGCTCGGCCCTGAGCTCCTGCAGGGAGCGGAGCTGAGAAGTTGGAGGGACAAGCAGAGGTCTGATGGCAAAGGGAAAGGGGCTTTCTGTGAGGTCCAGTAGGAAGAATGCTCCTCAGTATTTCCTCCAAAGAGATCAGAGAGCAACTAAAGGCTGAAGCAGTCAAATACTTCCTAGTTCTTACATCAAGGGGTGAAAGTACTGGCATAATATAAAATGAAAAATGGGGAGATTTGCCCTTTTCCTTTACCATGGGGCAAAGACAACAATTCTTGAATTGGGTGCCTTGAGGGGAGCTGCAGAGAGGACCCCCGCAGGCGCTGCATCCCTTCTCGGCCACTTCACCCCTGCTGAATGGCTGACCCTCAGCCTCTAGACCAGGCCCCTCACTGGCTGCTTTTCCTTGGCCAAAGGATAAAAAAAGGGTCCCTTGACTGGCCAGCCCCCGCACTAGGACCCTGTGCCCCATGAGCTGATACAGAGGCTACTGCCCCCTGCCCTGCACCTCCCCTAGCTCACGGCAGCCTCCTCCGGGGCCTGGGCCTCCCCTGACCTCCACTGTCTGCGGACAGCTGATGTGTCCCTGTGACTTGGCTTGTTCCTCCTCCCTTCCCACAGGTTTGGGTCCTTCTGCTAACCCGGATGCTGACTACTGCCTCTCCTGACCTGGGATCTTCCTCTGTCCCTCACACCTGGATGGAGCCACCAGCCCAGTGGGAGCCTCTGTCCCCTAGGACTGGGGACTGCCTGTGGGTTCTTTTGTCCCTTCTCGAGTTGGTGTTGGGAGAAGACCTAGACCAGAAAGTACTCCCTGAAAAGTGAGTGGAAATGCAGATGACAAAAGACAGGCTGTGACCTGAGAATTCTTGGCCCCTGGGGATGAGGATGGGGGTTCCTTATACTCTCCCATCTATTTCTATATGTTTGAAATTTTTTTTAGTAAAAACTTGTGAAATGTACTCCTTGGGGCAGGTCAAGAAGATCTCCAGCTTGTGTACGCCACCATTCTGCACATGCCCTGCCTTCCTCCAGGATGAGCTGAAAAGGATAAGATGTCTGTGTGCACAGAGGTGATGCAAAGCCAGATAAGACTGCTAGCAACAGCTAATGTTTATGGAGCACTTACTGTGTGCAAGGATTGTTCTGGGAGCTTTATACAGATTAATTCGATCTTCATGAGAATCCTATTGCATAGCTATCACTACCCCCACTTTACAGATGGTAAAAGTAAGGCTCAGAGAGGGTATCCAGAGTCATGTACTAGCAAGTGGCCTCTGCACATACCCTTTCCATCAGCTCTGCTGTTGCTGCTGTTGCCAGACTCATGGTTGGTTCTAGAGACCTTTTATTCAAGTTTAATTACAGAAGATGTCTGTCCCTGAGGACTTCTCCCAGGTTGTAAATATTAAAACTATAAATCAACACCACTTTGACAGAAGAGAGCTGGCAAGAAATTCTTCTCCTTGGCCAGTTCCCAATGGCAACCCCTGTGAGGAGGGAAACAAAGGTCGCACCCCATTGTCAGGACTGGGGACGGGGCAGACCAGAGAGTAGGCCCCTTCCCTAACATTGGGGGAACCGGGCAATGTAGGACTGGAGGCCACACTCGGGGGACTCCACACCAGACCAGGGGACACACAGAGCTCTGGTTTCCAGCTTGGACGGCCCCCTTTCCTTCCCACCCCTGGCTCTGTCCCCCATGGTAAACTCCATGCCTGCATGTCCATGCTTGGTCACCCGCCTCTAAATCGTCCCCCTTGGGACTAGCTGTGTGCTAGGGACACACGCCACCTTGGGAGGACCAACCCAGAGGTGACGTCCATGCAGGTCCTGAAATCAGACTTGGGCTACTTGGGTGAGGGACTTGGGTCCCAGATATCTAGGGCTTATCTGAAACGTGGGAGAAGGTCTCGGGTTTTGGCATGGAGAATCCCTTGCTCTGTTGAGAAAGGAGAGATGAGCCCGCGGCCCAGCTTCAAGGGCAGGGCCACCAGGGAGTTGTGCGCCCAGTCTCACCTACAACTGTCCTCCACTTCAGACTCCAGCCATTGTCTGGAAATGAGGCCAAGCACAGAGTCGCTGATGTGGCAAGGAGGTAAGTGGCATCCCTCGGCCCCACTGCCCGACCGCGTGGCTCGCGAGCCGTGCCTTAGCCATTTAACCACCGTCCTGAAATTATCTTATCACTCTGCCATAAACTGGCTTTGTGCTTTTTACATGAAGTGTTAACTGGTTCAACAACATCAACAAAAATCCCTATATTTAGGTATATTTAAATATAAATTTTTGTATATTTAAAAGTAAAAAAAAAAATTTCTGATTTTCAACCAGTGTGTTGCAAGAATTTTTAGGACACGCAATACCTGATTATTTAGTCAGGAACACTGACATCTTTTCTCTTAGATTGCCAAATAAAAAAAAAAATGACACCAGCCAACACAACAATAGCCACCTGGTGTGACTGCTCTGCCTTGAACCGTACAGTCATACAAGAGAGTCACATCTTACTGGTCACATCGCATAATAAGGCTGCGTTGGACTGGTTAATTCTTGGTACCAGAAATCCTTGTATACAAGTACAGGCAACTGACTTTTTAAAAAAAGTCACTTTGGAACAAAAAGGGTAGTTAATTACTTTTTTTTTTTTTTTTTGTAAATCAATCAAAACTATATTTTTTGCCAGATCGGCAAGAAGTTTTTTTTGTGTGGTTTTCTTTTCTTTTCTTTTCTTTTTTTTTTTTTTGGTGGGCTGCAGAATTTTAGTAATTAGTTTATGTGCGCCATGAGATGAAAAAAATGGAAAAACCATTGACCTAGTGGCCTTGAAAACCAGAAGTACTGGGGATGGTGTGTGGAGAGGGGGACTCTTTTGACATCTGAGCCACCCCATCCACACATGCCTTTTGGGCAGGAATACACAGGACACACCCCTGGGGCTTGGTGTCTGAGGGAACCACCTCAAGACCCCCAAGGGTCTTGCACAGACAGGGATCGAAGCCTTTTCACTAAGTGGATTTTCCATTAGCTGGTGCTTTACTGGCATTGAAATAATTCAGCCTCTCAATTTCCCAGAGGAACACTGCTCGCTCGATGGCCACAACTGCAGGAGCCGAACGCGGGGAGCAGAACAGAGGAGGGGGCACAGGAGCAAGGAGGGGCTTTCCAGTTCCCGCCCCGCAGTCTGTCAGGCTTCCCAGAATGGCTGGTGATGAATAGGTTTATTAAACTAATCCTGGAGTCAGGAATGGATTCAGGAGGGCCGCAGTGGTCGCTCAGACTGGCCCAGCCTCCATCAGCAAGCACTGGGCCCCTGCTGATGGTGCCGTCTTGGGGGGCTGACTAATTCATACCCCCAGGTCCAGGGCACACAGGCACAGCCATACCCATGGAAGGAAACCCAGAGGCCATCTTGGAGGCAGTGTGGGTGGCCTTGCCCCCTTTGATAAGGGGCTGAGGAGGAAGGGGTTCTCCCCTGGAAGGATGGAAATGGATGACGGAGCAGGCTGGTCCAGGCTGGACAGCCTTGAGGCTGCCTGTGCTTGGAGGAAGTCCCTGCAGGCAGCCACTGCGTTAGGAGAAGAGGCTGCCTGGCAGCAGGGACGGCAGGCTTCTCTCTAGTAAATGCAGTGTGGCCACAGCTGTGCAAGCTGGGATGGAACAGGCCACAGCACCCACCCTGGGGCTACCACCTTGCACTGGATGGAGAGGCACGTCAAAGATTTTAAGAGGAGGTAATGGAAGAAGCAAAGCTCTGAGAGGGGCAGGCATGAAGAGTAGGGGGGACCTAGGAGCTGAACTTAGAATGGTCCAGGCTCCCCTCTGGGAGGCCAGAAACAAGCAGCCTGAGGCTGCAGTTCTCAACGGGGAGATTTTGCCCCTGTCCACCTTCCCAGGGGACACCTGGCTTTGGAGACATTTTTTGATTATTATGACTAATTAGGGGGTGGTTACTGGCACCTAGGAGGTAGGGCCAGGGATGCTGCTAAACATCCCACAATGCATAGGACTGTCCTGATAACAAAGGTTTACCTGGCACAGAGCATCAGTGGTCCTGAGGTTGAGAAACCCTCACCTAATCCTAAAGGCTTGGTCTCTGGAGGCAGCGGCTGTGTCTGCACCCAGCTCTGGTATCACTCACATATAACCCGGGCAGCACTGGCCAAATTATCTAAGCCTCATCCACCCCATCTGCAAAATGGGAGCAATAGCAGGACGTGGTTTAGCAGGTTGTTGGAAGAATAAGATGATGCATGTGAACACTTAGCCCAGTGCCCGGCCCCTGGCACAGAGTCTCTGGGAACAGTGTCTTTATGGCACGTGGGAAGGAGAAGTGGCTGGGTGAGACTAGAGAAACATTCACACGCAGAGAAAAGTTAGGGGGCTGTGCTTTCATTAAGGCAGAGACACACGCCATTTACTGATGGTGGTGAGTTTCCCATTCACAAACTCTCCCACGTGGGAAACAGTAAACAATGGAGAGGAAACACCAAATGTAAGGTAGCACTGCTGCTTATGCTGTGGATATAAGGCCAAAACAGCTCACTTAGAACTGGCAAGTCCCTCATAGGCACTTCGCATTCATTGCCTATTTAGTCGTCATAGATTCCTACCTCTGGGAGGTAGGCACAATTTAACAGAAGAGAGACCATTACTGAAGTCAATGGTTACTCCGGGCAACGCCAGGGGCAGACCTTAGGGTAGGTGGCGAACGTGGGACCTCCTTGGTGAGATGGGACCTGAGCTGAGAGTAACCAGGGTCACCAGGTGGCCTTGAACCTCTGAGGCCATACTGGGCAGCACACTAATCCATTGAACACGCCCTTGAAGCTCTTCGGATAAGGTGTCTGGAATGAACTCGTGGGTTCCATTGAAACTTGAGTTCAGCTGACCTCTTGATGCACCTGGGTCCCCGAAGGATCATCCAAGTGTACTGACTTTCCAGGACTGGCCGTCCTGGCTCACCCTCTTATGAGCCCTTGTAAACTTGGGTGAGTTACTAAGCCTGTACCTCAGTTCCCTCATATAAAAAAATGAAGACCCAATCAGCCCCTACTGCAGAAGGTCACCGCAAGGAATACATGGGTTAATACACACACGTGTCCACAAGGGTGCTGGCCACAGAACAAGGGCTAGCTGCTGTCTGCATGCTGCCTGTGATGAAGGGAGAAGCCAAGAGGCAGAGATGACCCTAGAGGTTCTCTTTAGAAATCTGCCTTTGCTTTGCCTCTCAGGAGATGCTGGAGAGGCAGTTGCAATGGGGCCTCTCCCAAGGTGGGGTTGAGAAAACTCAGGGAGGAAGGGTGGTGACATGCTGGTAACCTGTCCCACTGGCAGACCCCCCTAGAGCGGCCAGTGTGAGTCCAGGTCTGGGGAAGAGCTTTTTTTCTTCATCTCACCCCCACTCCCAGGGTGTTTGACTGTCTGCACGCCTATATCACGAGCCAGTAGCCTGAAGTGCCAGGATCCAGCTAGAAGAACACACTCAGAAGTTTTTAATTTATGTGTCTTCCTTCTCTTTAAATTGGGATAGCAACTAGGTTGGTGCATCTGTCTTCTTTCTAGGGAATCCAATACACATTTTTCTAGGGAAGCCAATAAAGTTAAGAGGAAACTTGTTAACCTGGAGGCTTCTCAGGTTTCACACGTTTACAGACTCATGATGTATCTCTCTTGCCTTCCACCCAAAGCATCAGTTTGCTGACGTCTTCAATACACACTCAGATAAAACATTTTGCTCCCAAGGTTGACAAGCCAGCCAAGAAAAGGAGGTAAGGCAGGGTGAAGGATGAATGGGGTTGGGGGTGGAGCAGGGACACAAGCCAGCATCAGAGCCAGGGGACAGACATGGTCTGAGAGTCTCCTTTCAATGATGAGGAAACCCACATGCCTGGCAACACACGACCTGCAGAGTGAGTGGCCAGCTGGAAGCAGAACTCACAGCTCTTGGCATCCACAATCTGGTGCTCTTTTACCCCAGACATCTAGGACCCTGAATCCCTCTCCTCAGTGGCCCAAGTCTAATTTCAGGACTTGTGTGGAGGCTGCCTCTGGGTTGGTCCTCCCGAGGTGGTGTGTGTCCTTTCCACATGCCAAGACCCAAGGGGGGCCAGTTAGAGGGGGGTGACCAAGCATGGACATGCAGGCGTGGAGTTTACCATGGGGGACAGAGCCAGGGGTGGGAAGGAAAGGGGGCCGTCCAAGCTGGAAACCAGAGCTCTGCGTGTCCCCTGGTCTGGTGTGGAGTCCCCCGAGTGTGGCCTCCAGTCCTACATTGCCCGGTTCCCCCAATGTTAGGGAAGGGGCCTACTCTCTGGTCTGCCCCGACCCAGTCCTGACAATGGGGTGCGACCTTTGTTTCCCTCCTCACAGGGGTTCCCATTGGGAACTGGCCAAGAAGAAGAATTTCTTGCCAGCTCTCTTCTGTCAAAGTGGTGTTGATTTATAGTTTTAATATTTACAGCCTGGGAGAGGATCTCAGGGACAGACAGCTTCGGTGATTAAATAGAAATAAAAAGGTTCTGAAACCAGCCACGATTCTGGTAGTAGTAACAATAGCAGAGCTGCAGCCTGGTGGCCAGGTTCCCCAAATCCACCTTCATCGCTTACTGGCAAGTAACCTTGGATCATCTCTCTAGGCCTTGGTTTCATTATCTGTAAAATGAGGATAATAGTAATAGTCTCCCCCTTATCCTTGGAGGATACATTCCAAGACACCCAGTGGATGCCTAAAACCCTGAATAGTACTGAACCCTGTATGTTCTATGTTTTTTTTTCATATACATATATACCTTTTCACATAAAGGGAGCACTTTATGGCTTCTCTTTGGCACATCTGAATTGCCAGCATCACTATTCTTGTGCTTCAGGGCCATTATTAAGTAAAATAAAGGTCACCTGAACACAAGCATTGCAATACTGTGACAGCGATTCTGATAACGCAGAGGACTGTAAGGGACTAATGGGCGAGGAGCACATGCAGTGTGGATAGGCTGGACGAAGGGACGATTCACATCCAAGATGAGGTAGGGTGGCCCCGGATTTTATCACGCTACCCAGGACGATGCGCAACTTGAAACATACGGATTGTTTATTTCTGGAATTATCCTTAACATTTTTAGACCATGGGTAACTGAAACCATGTAAAATGAAACCATGGATAAAGGGGGCTATTGTACCTACTTTATAGGGTTCTTGCATCACTTCCTTGATAGGGCCCCTCAGACAGAAACGGTGGGAGCAGGAAAGAGGGATGTATAGTCTTGCAAGGGGCAGAGGGGCAGACACAACCCCTTCTAGACAGGCCAAGAGGCCGGTCAAGCAGAGAGAGGTGGGAGGGAAGAGGCGACGACCCCTTGATGTAGTGATGCATTAGGAGAAACGGGTGAGAAGCAGAAAGACAGGACAGTGAGTTTATGTAGAAAGGAGGAGTGGATACTGAAAGGAAGAGAAATGTACCATGAGTCAGTCCTATGAGGTTTATACTTCATACATGCACACATGTGCATATGTATGCACACAGTTAGAGGCCTCCGTGGTCCCTCAATGGGTCTAGTACAGAAATAAGCATTAGATTCCTGGAGGAACCAAAGAGGCCTGCAACCTGGCCTTTCATTTTGGCATCATCACAGTTAGCAGAGAATGCAGATGTCTGCTGAATGAATGAATGAATGATTGAATTCATAGATGGATGAAGATTTAGGATTTGTGAATCGGTGCAACAGAGGAGGTTGCCAAAGCTGGAAGCATGGATAAAAGCTCCCAGAAACCACTTAGAGGGAAAAGAGCAGTGACCTGAAATTCTTGGCAAATACTCACCATAAGGGTGTAAGAGTTGGGGGAGGATCCAGCAAAGAAAACAGAGACAGGGAGAATGGAAATGCAGGAGAATCGGGACCATGCAGAGCCACCAGAGCCAGGACGGCAGTTTACGAGATGGGTGTCCTTTAATGCATCCAGCAGGTCACACATTACAGAGGTCGAAGCAGGCCATGTATTTGTCAGTGACTTTAAAGAGCTGTTTCATCATCAGAGGGGAGAGCACTGGCCCACGGTACGTGGGGATGCTATGTTGGTGAATCAGCTACATCACCACGACACTTTTCTGAGACGGGGCAACCTGGTTCCTCCAGACCTGGGGGAAGCAGGAAGTAGCAGGGATGGAGCCACAGGACTGGTGAGGGCAGGACGGGGGTGGACGAGGGCCCTGCTCAGAGATGGCGGTGGCAGACGATGGTAATGGCTTTAGCAAAGCCGAGGTCACTACCTGGAAAGTCCGGGTTAAATCAGCAGAAAGATTCACAGAGCCAGCGTTTGAGGCTGGGGCAGCGACACCCAATGACATGTATTTCTGGTTGCATTTCATGTTTGGGAGTAGCTGTCCTGCCTGTCCTGCCTGCCCTGCCAGACCCAGCCCTCATTTACTGCCAGCAGGTTGGACGCCGATGACATACTCATTAAACTGCTAATTTAATGGCAATTTCCTATGGGCATGATGCTTCCTGGTAAGCTGTCCTTCAGAGAAATTCCGTGCCCTTGGAAACTCGGTGGAGGGAACCCAGTCTCAGAGTGAGGGGAGTCATGCTTCTCCTCTGCTGCTGAGCTCTGGCTATAACTGGACACCTGGTGTCACGTAACAGCAGGTGACAGAGGCTGAGTCCACGCACATGTTCACAAATCTCCAGCCAGTTACTTACCTGGGACTTTGCGTCCTCGCCTTTGTTTTTGACACACGGGCTTAACTTGACGCTGGGGATCTCTTGATTTTTCTGCCTTTGAGACTCCAGGCACTTCTGTCTCTGCCGGATGCTGCCCTTCTGGATAGAGGAATCCTTCGGGACCCTAGAGGGAAGCCGAGAGAGGTGAGAATCTGTGGCTCTTGGGATTTGTACCCCAGCAGTTAAGAGGTGGGGGCAGTGCTTTGAGAATGGCAGGGGCATTTTGCCCTGGGCCCTGCTGGGGAGGAGGTTACCCTTAGGAACAAGGCAGCAAGGAAAGACCCAGGAGTCAAAGGTTAGCCGGAGCTGGAGGGGAGCCAGCAGTTGCCTGTCTGTGTGCTCCGGTCACACCCAGGGGCTCAGAGCCCACAGTCGAGGAACACTGCTCCAAGCTAGCCTCAGTCCCCGATGCTGCTGATTAGTATAGCTCCTCTTCTGGTTTCAGGGGTGAGAGGGAGCTCATTGGACTTCTCAGCCCTCTATCTAAGAAAAACCCTCATCCAGCTGGCCACAGGCTGTCCCTTATCCAGACCAAGTCAGCTGAGGGCCCTTCCCGGCAGCCACAAAGGCTCACACCATAGGGCAGATACCTGAGTTCTGGATAGACATTCTCCAGGTACCACTTGAAGCTCTGGCACTGCAGATTCCTCCTCAGGTCCAATCTGCTCTCGATGCTGGGGGCAGACAGGGAGATAAAACACAGCTGTGTCACAGACAGGTACCAGGCTGGGCAGCACAGCGCACAGCCTGCGCCCACACTGTGCCAGCCTGCCTGGAGTGTGCTGAAAAAAAATTAACCAGTAGAGGTTTCTAGAGCCCCATACAGAGCAATGGAAACACTCAGCAACACCTCACAATGGTGCAGTAATGACGCCAAGACCTTGTGCTTTAAATTCAAAATGGATTTTGGGGGGTATTTTGACTTTTCATTAAAGACAAGGCTACACGAACAGTTGTTGTGTTTTAATAATTCACCGTTGGGGCTCCGAGTCTACTCATTCACATATCCCTCTTAGGATTCTGCAGTCAAAATACCCTCCCTGGCCACCCCAGGTTCAACGAATCCTTTTCTTTGGTTGGTTCAAGGGCCTTGTCATCTAATTGTTCATCGAATATTTATTGAGCACTTCCTATATGCCAGGCTTGTGCCCAGTGTGGGATATAATGATGCACTTTCAAGCAACAGAGAAAAGTCATGCAGTAAGGGATCACACCCTGACGTGGACGGGTGGGCACGCAGGGGTGTGCCCTTGCTTGGCAGGTCTGTGGTGGCCAATGTGGTGATGCTGAAGGAAAAGTGGATGTTCCCTAAACAAACCAGAAAGTGGGTGGAGCAGGCACCCTGGTAGAGGCAGGGGACTAGCTGAGCGTAATGTATGTGAAGAAGTGAGAGAGTTATGTGGGCAGAAGCAGCTCTGTAGGAGGTGAACATATGTGTACGTGCAAATATATGTGTGTGGAGGGGAAGGAAGAGGGGAGATGAGTGGGACGAACGATGAAGATAGAGACCTATAAGGTCTTGTGAGGCGAGGCTCTGTGGAGGAGGTGGGACTTTATTTTAAGGGCAATGGTGTCATGGATGGGTTCTGAGCAGAGCATGCCATGAGGATGTTTGCAGTTTAAGAGCATCCTACTGATAGCAAATGGGTCTGATGGGGCAAAGCTGGAGGCAGGGAGAGCCATCAGGAGGCAGTTGTGGAAACCTGGGTGCTGATCATGATTTCAGATAGGAAAGTAGGGGTGGGAATGGAGAGAAGTGACAGGTTCAAGTCCCTCCACTTCTCTCCATCTGCACCACCAGCACCCGCCTGAGTTCCATTTGCAATTGTCCCCCTGGGCATCCACACAGAGTGGCTCTGCTCTGTCCAGCCACGCCTCCTGCCATCTACAACTCACCAGGCTCTCTCACAGGGACAGAAATAACTTTTTTTTTTTTTTTAATGCTGAATGTTCAGTGTTTAGCAGGGGACCTGGGTACTCAGTGTTACCTGGATGTGGCGATTGTCTGGACCTGAGGGGAGAGGGAAGAGTGAAGGTGGACCCCCAGATCTGATTTGGGCTACAGGATGCATGGAAGAGTGTTCACTGAGATGGGGGATATGGGATAAGGAGCAAGTTTGGGTGCAAAGTAGATGAGGTCAGTTGGAACTTGAGTTGGAGGAACCTGGGAGACAACCAGGTGATTAATAGTTGGATGTAGGGAACTGGAGCTCAGAGGAGAGGCTCAGGTTAGAGACGGCCATGCAAGTAGCAGCAACATAGAAGCGGTGGCTGATGCCGGAGAGAATGTGCGGTAAGACAGCTTATGACAGACCCTCGGGGAAGACCAATGTATAAGGGTGGCAAGAGGAAACTGAAGCTGGAAATGAGAATGAGAAGATGGAGCCTGAGCAGAACTAAAGCCAGAGATCAGAGGTGTGCTGGGGGTGGGGTGAGGTGGGAAAAGACTCATACTAACAGGGTAACAAAGAGGACAGTGTAGGGTCCAAGGGAGTCATGGATGAACCAGGTGGGAGCAATCAAAGGGGTAGGAGGAGGGGCAGGCAGCTGTTTCATGAAGCTTGGCTCTAAAGGGGGAGAGGACAGGGTGTAGGTAATGAGCAAAGTAGGACTGAAGAAGAGTTTTGGTAGTGTCTTCTTCCTCTTTTCATTTGACGTTGAAGATGTAGGACACTGAGTAAGTTCAAATGCTGATGGGAACCATGCAGTAAAGAGACACGTCATCAGGGAAAGAGTGGAGACACATGGAGGGCAAAGTCCCCCAGAACAGTGCTTCCCACCTTGTCTGCACATTAGAATCACCAGGGGGAGGGTGTCTTTTAAAAATTCTACAGCCCAGGCCACACCCTAGATTAAATCAACTCTCTGGGAGTGCAGTAGAGGCATCAGTAGGTTCTGAAGCTCCCTAGGTGATTGCAATGAGCTGGTTATTTTGGGAACCATCGCCCTAGGACCTTGCTCCTGGGGGTGAGGTCCTCTGACTAGCAACACAGTATCAGCTGGGAACTTATTAGAAATGCAGTCCTGCCGAACCAGCATGCACTTTTTAACAAGATCCCCTGGAGATCTGTGTGCACATTAAAGTTTGATAAGCTCTGAGCCAGGAGGCAGGAGGAGATGAATCCAGGCTGTGGGAACTCAATAAATGTTGATTTATAAATGAATGCAGGAGTGAAAGGTATGTCTGGAGTACAGGTGGAGGGCTGGCCTGTCGCAGCAGGAGGCACACCCTGTCCTCTGAGATGAAAGAGGCAGAGGAGGATGGTGCAGATACAGTGAAGAGTATAGTTTGGTTCGTCTTGGGAAGTGGATGCCATCTAATTCATCTATAACACAGAAGATGTCATCTGCTGTGAGTGACAGGAGGGGTGTGGACTCAGCGGCTGGGGAAAGTGGAGAAGATTTGAATGGAGGAGGAGGGAGAACGCTGGCCAGGAGGAGGGCAGGACCAGTAAGCACAGCGAGGGTCTCCCTGAGACTGATGGCTCCAGTGTTAGCAGCACCAGCTTATAATTCCCAGGACCATTCAGCAGCCTGTGCACAGGGGAGGAAAAGGTGTAGAATTGGATTCATCGAGGGTTGAGAAAACTTTGCCTGGGGGTGTTAATAGATGCACAGCAGGGCAAAAGATCTGGGGATGATGTCTTTCAAGTCCTTCCTTGAAGCAGGAGAGTGGAATCCAAGCGAGAGACGGAAGTGAAGAAAGGAGGGTGGATGGACATGGCCAGTGATTTTGGTGAGGACTACGATGAAGGCCTGGGGAAGCACTGGGAGAAAAACGTGGAGGGACAGCGTGGGTTGATGGCTTCAGAGATGCAGATCCATTTTGTCAGGGTCTGATTCAACCCTCTGGAGCAGTGACGGGATCAGCCTATGAAGAGTTTGTTGCAAAAAACCCATCTGCTTCACAGCCCTAGTCTGACCCAATGAGTGGCATTAACAGAGCAAACAGCCATTGGCTGCCCCTGCCCCTCAAAGACAGATAATATAAATGAAGTTGCCACTTTTCCCTGCTCAATTCAGCTTTGGGCTGGGGAATGCAACATCGTGTAGTTTTAGAATCAGACAGGTGTGTTTTGAGCCTTGTCCCTTCTTACAGTGGTGTGATCCAGGGCAAGTACCACAACCTGGAGAAACCTCAGTTGTCTCATTGTAAAACGGGTAATTATACCCACATCTTACAGTTTGGGAAGCGCTAATGAGATAGCGATCTTCTGTAATGTCATCTGGTGCTTAATTCCTTTCCCTGTCCTCTTCCACCCCCAGGAAGCTGGGATGCTGCTGTAGGGGATTTCTGTGTGACTCCGTGCCTCCTGGGAAGGAGGAAGACTTAGGTTTGGGTGACTGAGAACTAGGAGGAAGGCGCTCCGATGTGCAGGCACCAATGCTGTGTAGTTCCACATCCTGTCTTTCTGGAAAAAGCTGGAGGTATCTGTCCACTGGACAAGGACAGCCCCACTGGAGCTGGTGTCCGGGTTGCCCAGGTAGTCATTCCACACGAGCTGCCCAAAGCCCTGCACACCCAGAACTGGGCAGGTGCAAGAGGGCTATGAAGGGAGAGCAGCCACAGCCTGCAGCCCGGACAGGCTTAGCGGCTCAGGAGACCAGCTAAGTGACTGGCCCATCAGGACACGCATGCCTCAGGCCTATGAGCTGCAGCTCTTCTGGGCTCTGCACAAATCAGCCAGAAGGGGCACTTACTTTCCAAAGGGCCTCTCCAGGGCGAACGGCCGGGCGGCATAATAGTACTGCTTGTATTCATCCATCCACACTTCGGCTGTCCGCTTGGTGTTCCTGGGGTGGGGGTGGGACAGGGGGTGTCAAGGAGGTGCTATCTGGGGGGACCTGTGACGTATGTAGTTAAGACACACACATGTGAGCAAGTTGGCAGCATTACCCAGGCCATCATGGCCCAGTAACACCACTCTTCCCAGGGTGCTGATCCCAGCCAAGTCTCACCCAGTCTGCAACGGGACCTCCGCCCCAAAACGCAGGGTTTCGGTAGTAATGACAAACTCTTCTCCACAAGGTACGCATCAGAAAAATCCCATACACTGCATTTCTGGGACTCAAAAAGGAATCACAGGAAGAAAAGAGCCGGGAGAGTCGAGAGCATCTGTGTCGGTGCCAGTAGCCAAGAGGACAGACAGGGCCTGCGCGGGCCACCTCGCCTCAGGCCGTGCACGGGCCCCTGCTCCAGGTGTCCCCCTTTACACAGAGCACGTGCCAAGGCCCCAGCCTGCCCAGGTTTCCCCGCAGCCTAAGCAACTGGCTTCTTGCAGGTGTAAGGAATTAAGTAATCAAGCCATCTCAGATATTTTGCCAGCACTGAGGGTTTTTTTTTTTTTTAGAAAATCAGGAATTGTTCTGAGCCTGACTCCAAAGGTCACACAGAAAAAAAGACCGAGGGAAAGAGAGACACTGAGAAATATCATCGTTCAGCAATCAAAGAGGCCAGATATCAGGAAGAGCCCCAGAGTGCAGGAAAAACGTATCGGAAAACCACCAGATGCCAAGGGCAGCGTGGGGTGCAGCACCTGCTGAGGCCTGCGGCGGTGAACTTGGGCTCCCACTAAAGAGGTGGGCTCCTCCAGATTTCTGGTTCCATTTGGAGCAGAGGTAGTCAATGGAGGGGCGCGGCAAGCCCTCCCAAGCGGGTGGGCCAGAACCGAGTCACGCACACCAGCCCAGTTTGGGGGGCACTGAAGGCCGTTCCTGCCCGGCTGACCCTTCCGCTGGCTGACCCATCAGCAAACCGGAAGCTGCTCAGGAGACACTGGTACCTAATTTCTCTAACCACTGAATGACCCACTAGTGCTGTGCAGGATGCCCACTGGCCAGGGTCCAGTCTCAAGGACAGTGGATGTCCTGGAGCCCCAGGTTCTGCCCCTTCACTCGCAGGCTGTCTCCATTCTGTGCCACAGCCACATTGCCTTCCCCTACCAGGTGTCAGCTCTTCTTTCCCTTTAAAAAGCCCAAGAGCCGAGGCAGCCTTACCTTTGTTCCCTGCTGCTCCTGCCTGCGGGAGTCTCGCTGCCCTGCCCTGCCCTGCCCTGGCCCACCGTGTGCCCACGAAAGGCGCTAACTTTCCTATGGCTTACGCCCACGCCTCCTGTGAGACTCTTGGGTCAGGGCGTGACTCATACCTGTTCATGTATGTGAAAAACTGAGGCTGGAAGAACAGGAGGAAAGTGACATCCCAAAGGAAGAAAGCCACCAAATGAGGTGCTTAGTCCTCCTTCTCCCCAAATGGACAAAAAAATAGGAAACAGTGGAAGAAATAGGCGAGTGAAACTTTCAAATGAGAGAAGACAACAGAATTAAGGAAAATGAGAGAAGATGCTAGAGGGGACAAAAGGGACTGTATTATATAGAAATTCATTTGAAAGGAGAGAAGAAAGGTTGAAAGAGAAGAAATCAGGCAAAGGAGGATGTAGGCAGAAGGAGAGAGCAGGAAAAGGCCCGCGTGCACCACTGGGTCACTGAGTCCCTGGTATCGGGTCCTTTCCCTGACAGGAGGTGAGTGCGCCCTAGGAGAGGAGTTGGGGTCGCAGGGCCCGCCCTGGCTGGACCCTTTCTGTGCACGGGCGAGGCCCTGGAGCAGCCACGGGCCTTGTACCCACTGTGCCTCCCCATTCCTGGATCTTCCCAAGGACCTTCACCCTGGTGACTCAGCCTGAACGTGGGAGCAGTACATCTTCAGAACTCAGGGGCCCAAAACGGTGGCCCTGCCCCGACCCCAAACACCACAAAATACCCAAACCTTGAGCCCTGCGGAATGGCACAGCCCAAGTAACTAAAGACCTCCAAGGCCACCTGTGGGGCCTTGTCAGCCTGGGGCTCCTGCCTAACGCTGGACGGCAGGCCTGACCTCCCTGCAGAGGTAGAGGCCTGGAGAGCGTGACACGTGGCTCCTGACCACCCAGGACACTCAGGCGACCTACCAGGGGACCTGAGGCAGCCACAGGCCGTCCCCAGGAAAGCCCTTGGCCACCGCAGCTCCCAGGGAGCCCCTGGGCCCTGCACTTACTTTATGTATGTGTTGGCGTTTCCATCTGGGAAAACGTATGGGTGCTTCTTCCGGAAGACGTGGCCCACTCGGCTGCAGGGGACGATTTCCAGGCTGCCCCCACACATCCACACTCGGAAGGAGATTTCTGCAAGAAAGCCAGGCCTCCCTTCACGGCCCTGCCTCTTGGACAAGGAGGGGGGCGGGGGGACACAGGATGGTAGTTTTGAGGCCCCAGGAAACACCAGGTCCCAGGAAGCAGTGAGCCCACTGCACTCAGCCTAGGGTGTGGGGTTAAGAGCTGGGCTCACAGCCAAACTGTGCACACTCCACAGGCTGGGCGATCTCAGTTTCCCCACCCACCAATGGGGATGATAATAGCTCACACCTGGGAGGGCGGTATGAGTTAATAGGGGAACAGTGGCCTGCAGAGAGGAGGAGCCTGTGTCTAAATCAGCCCCCAGAACACATTCAGGCAGCTGTGATGCCTTAGTCTGGAAAAGAGAAGGCTTGGGGCCACGAGAGTGCTGCTTTTGGACATGTGGAAGGTGTCAGTGTGGAAGACAGATTAAACTCCCTTGCAGGACTCTGGAGGGTTAGAACCAGGACTGAAGAGAATTTCCATTCGAAAATATGGAAGAATTGGCTGACAGTCAAGGTCGAGATAGAAGTGGCCGCCATGGAGTTAGGGAGTTTCACACTCTGGCGGGCCAGCGAACCACATGGCCAGGGTGCAACAGACAGGGCCAGTTCCAGGAGGCACCTCCCAATACCCAGACTAGTCCTACCACACTGCAGGGGCACCTGAATTGTAGCCCTCCCAGGAGGATGACTGAGAGCAGCCCTAGAACGTGCTCGAAGCCTCAAAGCTGTTGCTGGGTGTGCTGCACTGGCTGGGGATTTTGCACACATACCCATTTCTCCCTGGTTGGCTGCAGCCGCTGCTGCTGCAGGGACCTCAGGGAGTGGAGTTAGCAAGAGTAGGGTTGGGCTGGCCTGTACATTTCTCCCAGGGCCTGCTTACCGGCAGGATTGGAGCAGTGGCTCCGCCCCAGAAGGAAGCAGTAGCGTACCAGGGTGGGGGGGATGTACCTTATCAGTGCCATTGTTCAGAATTGCCAGTGCATAGTGATAATAAAAAGCAGAATAGCTGTTAGGCAGTTTTATTATTGCTTTTAACTTCTCTAGAAGTGCACCCCCTTGCCGACTGGTCCAGGACAGGCTGCCCCTTTGCACTCTCCTAGGTGGGCCATGAGTGGGAAAGCCAGCTTCCCAGCCCTAGCTTCTGCAGTCAAGCGCCAGTATGAGGAGGACAGGCGGGCTCAAAAAAACCCCAGGCTGTGGGTGACTGTCCCTGGGAGGTGCCATGTGGCAGCAGGCTGGGTGTCCAGGGGCAGGAATGAGGTTAGGAATATTCCAGTACCTTCCCACCACACAGGTTTCCTGGACCATCCAGAACTTTGCACCCCACCTCCCTCGGCCTCCTCTATGTCCCTCCTCCTTCCTGCTCTCTGTCTCCCTTCGTTCCAACAACCCAAGCTGGTACCTGGACCGCTTCTTTATCCTGATCTTCACATGTTCTCTCACTCACCAGTCCTCAGCCACCCTTGACCCCTACTTCATCCTGTGACGTATCCCTGGAAAAGCCAGAGTTGCAGGCAAGACTTCCCTGTCACCAACCCTACAGTTGTCACCTTCTCCACATCTGCCCAGGTACTGTCCCGGACAGGTTACAGCTCATTCCAGAAGCTCAGATTTCCCTCCGAGCGTGGACAACATGTACACTAGGATGAAGAAAGCCCTCATCAAGGTTGCTACCAAATAATAGCGGAAACATGGGGTGGGGGAGAAATGAGAGGAGCTTGGCTTTGGGGTCAGTGGCCCCAAGTCTGCAGTAACCTACTTGCATCATTCGTGGGGACACCTGGTTAACCTTGCCGAGGCTGGGTCTCCTCATTCATCAAAAGAAAATCATAAAAATACTCTACTGGATTGCTGCTGTATTCTGGCGAATAGAATTTTGAGAGTAACTGGAAGCTCTAGTGGGATGGAAAGATCAGCAGCGGTTATGAAGAGATGTCCCTCTGAAGCCGGTGTCTTTAATAAAAACATGGACACCGATGGCATCGACCACCTGTGCCACTTGTAACTTCCTTCTTCTGCCATAGGAGGCACTTGAAATTCATGGACTTAACATCTGAGATTTTTACTCTCCACCAAGGTCCCGGATGCATAGTGTTCCGGCGTTTGGTGGGGCACTGTTGGAATCGTGTGCCCCAAGCTGATGTTTGCAACAGACAAGGAACAATGAGTGTGCTTAGCTGACTGTCTACAGCCCCTCTCCACCTTGCAGAGGATGTGCTGAGCGGCTGAAGGGCGTGGTCCAGGGAACTACATTAGTACACATGTAAATCTAGTCTCTGGAGATGTCTCTCTTAACAGGCCTGAAGTCTACTGTGCTCCCATCAACTTGTCTTGTTCTTGTTCCTAAAAAGGAAAACGCACTAATCTCTCAAAACTAGAGATGGAAGCCTTGCTTACTAGATATAACCAGCAAATTTTATGCCAGCTTTCTTTAAAGTATGCGTATGTTTTGGTTATGGTCTCTTCCTTTCCATGTATTCAAATGAGACATATGTTCCCTCCTCATTTGCAAAGTAAATCCCTCCAACCTATGCCTCAGTCCCACCCCCTCACCCCAGTCTCCAAAGCCTGCTTCTTTCCCTGTGCTCACTTGGCCCAACACTTCGCTTTTTTCTGAATCTGCTGACCTCCTTCTCCTCTGCCACAGCCAGGCACAGGTCCCCACCTTAGAAAGTACCATACCTGATCCTGGTCCTTCTCCACATTCCCCCTGGTCTCCAGCACTTCTTCACTCCACGCTCTGCCTCTGAGTGTGTTCCTGACACTGGTTCCTCATCCTGATCACATGTTCATTTAACACTAAGGACTCACCTCCATCCTGCCACCCAGCTCTGTTCTGGGCTCCAGCACCAGCTTCCAGTGGCTGCCCGGTGCTCTGTCGAGGTGCACTGGACACCCTCAGACACAGTGTGCCTTCTGGCCTGTCAGCACCACCTACAGCCTGCCTCCTCTCCTCTACCTCTGAAGCCACGCTTCCTTTTCCTCATTTTCCTGTGTCCAGTGCTTTTGCCTAAAACTTCTGAGTATCTTAATTCTGCAAACATCACCCACGGGAGGAATACAACTCCTCCACTTACTTCTGGTTGGGCTTTCCTCTGTCCCTCCTTAGGTGGCAGCTTATTAGTCATCCAACAACCCCGCTCGTGGTTGTGCACGCTCTTATTTTATGATGCAGAAGCAGTTCTGATGGGGCAACTGATGGCAAGTGGCTGGGAACTGAAGCACATCCCCCCAACTCCAAAACTCATGCTCTTGCCTGATTCCATCCTCCCTCACTATCGAATACCTCCCATCAGCCAATGCAGCTGTGGATACAGAGACACTGACTTCAACATGCTCACAAACAAGAGAGACAGATTTATAACCAGTGGTCACACTTCTCCCTCATCCACTCATTCCCCCAATCCTGACGAATGTCTGCCTTAGATCCCCTTCAGGCTAGCTGGTGCCACCCAGGGGATTCTGTGGCCACAGGGGCGGGAGCGCTCCTCTCCCCGGGGGTCCAGACTGTCATAGAGAGTCGAGCTGAGCTGCTAGAGTCGGGGCTGTCCAGCCGAGGCAGCTTGGAGGGGTCAGGTTAGTGTGATGATTTACAGGTACCAGAGTGTGGGATATTTAAAACCTAGGGCACAGAGTGGCCCTTTATCTACTCCACTGTCTTCAAGATGAAGATGCCTGTCCTCACAGGACTGCAAGCCAGGCCCAGTGATTCACAGATCTCTGCTGGAGGCTTTGGGAAAGCCTTGTAATCCTGCAGCCCCAGGCAGAGGGGGCTTGGACCTCAGCATGTGTCCTTCGTATGCAAAGCCTAGACCCTCAGTCTCCACGTCTTCTAGCCCTGCAAAGTCACCCCTTTCCTATGTGAAGGAAGATGAAGTAAAAAGACAACATGGCGGGGGCGGGGGGGGGAGACAATGCAGGGAGTTTGTAGGGGGTTGTCACTGAGTAACCAGCATAATCTCCCTCGTGATGAATGTCACACAGGGTCAAATCTGCTGTGAATTCCAGGTGGGAGATGTGTAATTATTCCATCCTCAATGGGGACAGCGTTATCTTATTTTTTTAAGCTTCCTTTAACCTTGCGTTTAACTTAATTCTTTAAACTTTAAGATAATATTTGAGAGCAAATTGCCCTCCTCACTCTCCATTCTTACTTGTTTCTATCTCATCAATCCATCCGTCATTTTACCAGTGCTCATGGACCCCCTTCTCTTCACCAGAACCAGCGTCTGCCTGACAAATCCATGATGGCAAACAGGAATTCAGGGGAAAAGGGACAGCTTTCTCCCTAGGCACTAAGCCACACCTATTCCTGTGTCGCTCCTAGTCAAAGTTCTAATTTCATTTTATAGCCTGGTTTCTAAGCAAAGGCAAAAAAAGCATTAGACATGGGCTCCACCGCGTGCAGCAGGCTGTTTTGAATGAAGCCACATCTACTGGACATTCAGTAGAATTATCCAGCCCACCTTTGGCAGCTGAAACCAACTGAGAACAAAGGGAGCAGGGTGGGCAGTGTCAGGCAAAAGGAGACACGCACCTGGCTATTTTTACTCATAAGGCCACACATATAAATGTGGGCACAGGACCTTTCCATTCAATCATCTTTACATTCTCAGGGCCTCCTGGGCCAGAAATCCCTATTATTATTTTTTAATGAACACACAGACTTGAGTAGAGATTATCTAATTGGCCTACAAAAGGCAGCCTTGAATCTTTGAGCAAAGCTGCTTCACGCCGTCTGGGACAGTTCCAGCTGAGCCTGGGCCTCAGTCACACCACGGCCAAGGGCCATGCAACGGCAAAGGCCACGGCAGCACCCTTTATGTTTCCCTATTCCCAGCGGAGAAGAATGGCCTCTAGGGAATCTCGCCCGGGCACGGGGCTTTAGCAAGCAGCCCAGGCAAGGAACAAAGCAGAGGCCTGCTTTCACTTTGCTCTCCACCTTGGGGGAAAAATGACTTTTCATCACACTCAGGTGTCCTCAGACAGGGCCGTTTCCCTCAC